TCAATACTAAGGCCTAACAAAATGCTTAAGAATACACTGAGGAGTAGATGGAGTACTGCATAACACTATCACAACTTTTCATACATCACTACAGAGCCATACAATCCATAACCAAACACTCATAAACGCAACTACAATACACTCTAATATACTCACTGTTTCTCATCTCAACAATTCCTCTAATATTCGCGATTTACACGAGTTTTGAAATCATGTAAAAAACGGATTCATTGCTAACAAATGGAGTTCATCTCATCCGCAATGAGCCGACAGACGCTTGAATTTTAATTGGCTTTACTTTATTATTCACTGACCCCTCATATATTCCGATGGGAACTCGTATGATGTCCAACATGTTGGCCCTCCTTATTCAACATTTGCCACAACTCTGACAATACTATTAATTTTCATTCAACAAACCATTCAAATTAAACAAATCTCTTTCCATGCAATCCATTTCCACAATTAAAATACACGTTACACTATATTTTATATATTTACAAATATTCTGTATATATTATACAGTAAGTAATAACTGTACTGTTAGTAATGTGTTTTAAACATTCATTAGAGGTTAAATTATTGTTAATTAAAACAATTTCTTTTAATTATTTATTTTATTTTTCGAGTGAGTTTTAAAAAGTATTAAAATATTAGGAAATAGTATATGTTTTACAAACTAAAGAATACGAGAAAAAATTAATTTACGAAAAATGAGAGTTTAGATGAGTTTAACTTAGGATTTACTCTATTCTATGCAATTCTATAAGGATTTCAATAAATGCCATCTTTGTATAATTGATGAGTGAATGAGAGCATCATTTGATATCCTGGTAGCTTTTATTTATCTAAAATATCTTCTCAGTCGGACTTTCAATCATTGAGTTTATAAACTCTAAATGCAATTGATTTGATAGCATTTTAATAATGCATTTGCAGAGTACTTAATAATAATTTTATTTCAGTTTATTGATCACAATTACAATTATTTGTATTTATTGAAGTCCTTGGTAATTACGAATTCTTATAAATTTTTATTAGTACAGAGCTGGATAGCTAATTATTGGCCAGATACCTAAAAATATAAAAATAGAGTACCTACTCTAATCAATTTGTCCACTAAATCATCTAACTTATTTGACATCCATATAAGTATTGATTGTAAAAATGGCATTGATCTTAATAATTACTATAAACATTAAAGATAATAAGAAATAATAGTACTTTATCACACTTACTATAGAATTTGTACACTAAATATACTACAAACAATGATTAATCGCGTGATTTTATGTATTAAAATATTTAATTGTAATATATAGTGAAACCCAAATCAATCTACAATTAGAAATGGTTTTTATTGGCAACACTCGACTCAATTCTGCATACAATTATAGTCTTATATTCATGTCATTTATTGTGATGATTAGGTTATGAATGAGTTTCAGACAAACACTCTTCAGATTGGCGTCAAACTGGAGGTCAGGTCTCAACATTTGCCGCTATTGGTGCCACAAATCCATTCCTCTCACACATCACTGCCAGTTCTCTAGCGTTGAAACTGATGTTAAATAAATTTATTAATGAGTAGAGATTGTCCACTGAAGACAAGAAACAATCGGTTCCAGTCTTTTGCCACAAACTCTGGTTATCATTGGGTTAATCGTTCACTTTTGCTATTATTAAGTGTGAAATCAATTACTTTATCGATCTTTTGGTAAATTGTAAATGTTTTTCATTATAAAATTCAATAGTTTTATTAAATTATTAAACATTTTATAATTTAAAAATTATAGACAAAACTTTGTTGAAACTTGAGATTCTGTACAAAAAATTAGTAAAATTAATCATTGATTTTATTACAATTTAAAGTGATTTTAAAAACTCCAATATTTTCAATCATTTGATTAGTAAATAGCAAATATTGAAAATACTGTACCGTATAATGTAATGAATTGCTTGAAAACAAAGCAATTCATGAGAAATGGCATTAAATAAATGTTTGGAAAGTATAAGAAATGATACAAAAATTATTAAGCAATTGCTTTAATGTTTAATCAATTAATAAATGAATGATAGGTCTGTATGTATAGGACATGTGTAGCGATGTATTCACATATAAATAAAGTTAAAACGACTCAAAGCCTGCGGCAGACTGGAGATGATGGGTCCGTATCCCTGGGCGTTGTCGTACAACTCGAACAACGGCGCGGCCACCAGTTTGTAGTTCTTGGGCACAGCAAACAACGCCTTCTCCGGCAACTGAACCAAAAAGAGTCGCTTATGTTCTTTAGGTTTCGTGATATGCGGAGGAATATAGGGGTACTGCGGGGGCTCGAAGTTAGGCCTCCACCAGTTGCCCACCGTGTCCTCGATGTCCCACTCCTGCACAACGCCGTCCTGNTTCAACAAAGTTTTGTCTATAATTTTTAAATTATAAAATGTTTAATAATTTAATAAAACTATTGAATTTTATAATGAAAAACATTTACAATTTACCAAAAGATCGATAAAGTAATTGATTTCACACTAAATAATAGCAAAAGTGAACGATTAACCCAATGATAACCAGAGTTTGTGGCGAAAGACTGGAACCGATGTGTGAGAGGAATGGATTTGCGGCACCAATAGCGGCAAATGTTGAGACCTGACCTCCAGTTTGACGCCAATCTGAAGAGTGTTTGTCTGAAACTCATTCATAACCTAATCATCACAATAAATGACATGAATATAAGACTATAATTTTATGCAGAATTGAGTCGAGTGTTGCCAATAAAAAGCATTTCTAATTGTAGATTCATTTGGGTTTCACTATATATTACAATTAAATATTTTAATACATAAAATCACGCGATTAATCATTGTTTGTAGTATATTTAGTGTACAAATTCTATAGTAAGTGTGATAAAGTACTATTATTTCTTATTATCTTTAATGTTTATAGTAATTATTAAGATCAATGCCATTTTTACAATCAATACTTATATGGATGTCAAATAAGTTAGATGATTTAGTGGACAAATTGATTAGAGTAGGTACTCTATTTTTATATTTTTAGGTATCTAGCCAATAATTAGCTATCCAGCTCTGTACTAATAAAAATTTATAAGAATTTGTAATTACCAAGGACTTCAATAAATACAAATAATTGTAATTGTGATCAATAAACTTCAATAAAATTATTATTAAGTACTCTGCAAATGCATTATTAAAATGCTATCAAATCAATTGTATTTAGAGTTTATAAACTCAATGATTGAAAGTCCGACTGAGAAGATATTTTAGATAAATAAAAGCTACCAGGATATCAAATGATGCTCTCATCCACTCATCAATTATAAAAAGATGGCATTTATCGAAATCCTTATAGAATTGCATAGAATAGAGTAAATCCTAAGTTAAACTCATCTAAACTCTCACTTTTCGTAAATTTATTTTTTTCTCGTATTCTTTAGTTTGTAAAACACATACTATTTCCTAATATTTTAATACTTTTTAAAACTCACTCGAAAAATAAAATAAATAATTCAAAGAAATTGTTTTAATTAACAATAATTTAACCTCTAATGAATGTTTAAAACACATTACTAACAAGTACAGTACAGTAAGTTAATACTTCTGTATAATATATACAGAATATTTGTAAATATATAAAATATAGTGTAACGTGTATTTTAATTGTGGAAATGGATTGCATGGAAACAGATTTGTTTAATTTGAATGGTTTGTTGAATGAAAATTAATAGTATTGTCAGAGTTGTGGCAAATGTTGAATAAGGAGGGCCAACATGTTGGACATCATAGGAGTTCCCATCGGAATATATGAGGGGTCAGTGAATACTAAAGTAAAGCCAATTAAAATTCAAGCGTCTGTCGGCTCATTGCGGATGAGATGAACTCCATTTGTTTGCAATGAATCCGTTTTTTACATGATTTCAAAACTCGTGTAAATCGTGAATATTAGAGGAATTGTTGAGATGAGAAACAGTGAGTATATTAGAGTGTATTGTAGTTTATGAGTGTTTGGTTATGGATTGTATGGCTCTGTAGTGATGTATGAAAAGTTGTGATAGTGTTATGCAGTACTCCATCTACTCCTCAGTGTATTCTTAAGCATTTTGTTAGGCCTTAGTATTGACTGAATGTGTTGTGCAGTACTGTTGCCGATGCTCTCATAGCCATCACTCAATGGGCGAACTGACAGGTGTTAAGCAGTCTTCCAGTCCTCCGGTCTCTTGTTTGCTGTTATTTGAGTAGAAGTGCATCAGTGATGGTGTGAGGGTTGAGGCGCTCTTACATTCACTATATTTATCTTCAAACGCAATATTCATGCCTCCATTTGTATTCAATAAAGTGGTCGACGTCTGCATTCAAATATGTGATCCCAAGCCTAACACTGTGCCAACACTCAGCATCTCTATGCCCGTCCACATGACTCGCAAACAATTTCCATATTCAAAAGACTCGCATTATATATGAGTTATGGCTCTCCTCTAACTTATTATACAATTCTCTTGTTTTCTCGTTTACATACATTTACACCAAATTTCACATCAAATGAGACAAAACACAAAATGCTATTGTCTTCCCATTCTAACAGACACCTAATTTGCAATCCCCTACAATCCTATTCAATCATATTTACATCTATTTGTTGATTCACATATTTCTCTTAATTCTTTTCACATTAATTGTAATGAAATTTGTAGACAATATGTATACTCTTTTATTTTTGTGATAAAAAGAAATGGAGAGAGAGAGGGAGAGAGAGAGAGAGAGAGAGAATTAGTATGTGTTTGATATTAACAATGAGTCCAACGAAGTACAGTATTGTATGTAATATTATTGTACGGAATAGTGTATAGCATATAGAGTGTGGCAAACAATGGCTTTATTTCTAAATGTGTTTTATTTCGCCCAACACTGGAGTAGAGGAGTAGAGGAGAAGAGATGCAATTTAGAGCGTCGTATGTGTGCACTGGTATTGGGCGGTCATATCTGAGCTAAAATAATGGCTAAAATCCATCATTCCTTTCATGAAAGTTGAGACAAGAGTGTGAGAAAGACAGACACCGAGTGCTATGGCATAGGGAGAGCGGGGAAAGTGAGCGGGGACAGTGAGCGGACACGTGTTACTTCCCATTTCTTTGCAGTCGACTCGAGGCGTATCCTTTGGCACAACTCCACCATCAATGCCAGCGATTCTCTCCTTTTCTATCTGTGATTCACTTCTGCAAAAAAGTCTCAATTGTGACCAATAATTATAAGATAAAAGTATTGAAAGCAAATGTAATGTAATGGTTGAGACAATGTTAGAGCACTAAATCACATACGAGTTGATGGGTTGCGAGTGTTCAACGAATTAACTATTTTCACGACTAATTCATAACTTTAATTCTGTGTTTCATATGTTGAAACAAACTTTCATACAACACCATACAGTACTTAACACATAGTTACACATATTATACTAAAAGTCGATATTTAGTTCATACAAACAGTGCTACACAAAGGGAATTAGTGTTAAAACTAAACTAAACAATACATGCAATATATTTTAGCCTTTTTAGACCTTTTATTAATCAAATACTCTTTGTTAACCTTTTTGTGAGCACTTAATTACAATTTTAGTCATTAATTTCATAAACTTTCTGTTAAATGATTTTTAAATATTAATTTAGTTAATGACTTTTATTTTGATTTGATTTTTAAAATCTACATTTTCAAAATAATTTTAGATAAGTTTTTTAAGAGCAATTTAAGTACAACCTTACTAATAAATTATTTAAAATAGATTCACAAAATTCACAATTATCAACATATAATTTTTATTTAATTATAGTTTCAATTATTCTATAAGTTTTAGTATTTATATGCATTCTTTAATATAGGCATTAAGAATAAAATATAGAGAATGCTGTTAAAGAATTAAAAAATAAGTTATACAAATATTGTTTACTTGAATTAAATTCAAATACTTAGACATTAAATTTCAAATAGAGTTTTATATGATATGAAATGCAATATATTTTATAAAATATTTTAAAAGTGAATCTCAAAAACAATAAAACATAAAAAATCTTTCTCTAAAATTGGCGTACAAAAATTATTGATAATATTTTTACAAATAAATCTGAATAAATTAGCATATTACAATACAGTATTGTCCATTAAAATTTCTGGACAAACTGTGAAATCATTAGATGTGGTCTTAAATGCAAATATCAAGTATAATATGTATACGAATAAAATGAATCCAAATGAAAGCCATTTGAATCGATTGTTCTGTTAATCATAAAAGATATAAATTTAATTGAATAATTCAATTAATAGTAATTTATTCGCAGAACATTTAATCTGATTTCGGATG